TTACTGGTATTAGCTAAACAATCAATGAATTCAGCACACCCAAATTTTCACAAGAAGGAACGAACAAAAACAAAATATTTTCCAACTGCGACCGGGTCTTAGCACCACCAGCAATAGATAAAGTCCAACATTGTTGTTGTTTTTCGACCATCAATCAAATTAAATCCCTGTTGACTATACATTTTTAGCAAATTTAAATGAGAACAGCAACAACAAGAACCACAAAAAAAAATTGCTGACACCAGATTTAAGATAGCTGGACTACTGCCATTTTCCCCATGAATTTTGCCTTTAACCAACATGGTGACCATTTGTCCATTTTGCTGCAGAGGCTGCGACCGACCGACCGACCGACTGCGATAAACATCAATCATTTGACTTAATTTGATTTAGAAAATGTTTAAACATAATAATTTTATTTCGACGTATGAAAATAGTGTGTGTGTGTTTGTTTGTTGGTTTGGCGAACTAAAATTTTGTTGTTAAACAAAAGACTTAAGCAACAAACGTGAATATATTAAACTAGAATTTTTTGATTGCCACCCCACACACACACACAGAACAGCTTTTTATTGCATTTATTTATTTCTATTTAACTGCAATCAGTCTGAAATCACACAGGAAGTGGGTGGACATACATAGAAACGTAGACATAGAACAGCATGACTTTAAGGCATAATACATCATCGATTTTTATTATAGTGTAAATTTGTTTTGGAGCCATTGAAATGTCAAAATGTTATAGAGTCATAAAAAGTTGAAAGTTGATTCACTGATGTTGCAAGAATCAATTATCCTTGAATACGAATTGAATTAATGGGTTTGGCACAGCAGATAGGTTAGACATAGGTATACAACAATATAGTTACATTATGTCTTAACCTATTATATTTATATGTGAAATTGTATTCGTAGCATGTGAATGGATAGAGCTAAAAACTTAAAATGTAGAATGCGAATTAGGGTTAAGATGTAGAGTCTATTTAAGGAGATGGGGTTTGAAAGCGTGTACTCATGTGTACGAAAAGTACTATATGGTACTATATTTGGTGCAAATTTAATCTATACTACTAAAAGAGTAAAGTGATTGACTGACTGATTTAACGATTCATCAACGCCCAGACGAAACTGCTAAAGCTAGAATCTTGAAATATTAGGTGAGTGTCTCTCTTGGTCCAAATGTGATAGATAAGGCTGGGTTTTTTGGAAATTCGTACTAGAGCGGTACGAAAAGTACTAAATATGGTATCATTTGTATTTGACGAACCAGTAGAGCTAGAACTCTGAAATTTGGATTGAGGGTCACCGATGGAGTGTAGAATAGATGTGGCAAAGGGCTTTTTAGAAAATCGAACTATAAGTATCCGAAAAGTACTAAATTTGGTACACTTTCGTAGAGTGTGAATGGATCAAACTAAAAACTTGATATTTGGAATGCAAATTAAGCTTTAGAAGCAAGGTCGATATGAGGAGAGTTTGAAAAGCGTGTACTCGTGTGTATGAAAAGTACTATATGGTACTATATTTGGTACAAAAATTGATTTGAAGGTACAAATCGAGCTGGAATCCGTCGGAGTGTAGTACTGGGATATGTACGTAGTTTTGGATTTTTTTACGAAAAACACTAAAACGTACTATAATTGGTACAATTTGGATTTGGTTGAACCTATAGAGCTGGAACAATGACGTTTGGAGTTAGGATCATTGTAGGGATGTAGGATTAGGGTCAGGATTCAGTTTAACAAATTAATATTTATGGGTACTAAATGGTACTAAATTTGGTACAATTTTATTTTAGGTGAACCAATAGAGCTAGAATCACGAAATTTGGAGTCAGGATCAATGTTAAGGTGTAAGATAGGAAATTGGTACTAATGTGTACTAAATTTGGTACAATTTATATTGTGGGTGAAGCGATAGAGTTTAAATCATGAAATTTTGATTTAGGATCACTGTGGAAGTGTAGGATTGGGGTATGTAGAAAATTTTGCGAAATTGGTACAACTATGTACTAAATTTGGTACAATTTGAATTGTGGGTGAACCGATAGATTAAGAATCCTAAAACTTGGATTTAGAAACACTGTGAAGAAGTAGGATTGGGTATATAGGAAGTTTTGGAATTGGCACTACTGTGTACAAAATTTGGTACAATTTGAATTGTGGGTGAACCTATGAAGTTGGAATCCTGAAACTTGGATTTAGGATGACTGTGCAGGTGTAGGAGTGAGGTATGTAGGAAGTTTTGGACATTGATACAACTATGTATTAAATTTGCTTTAATTTGAATTATGGGTGAACCAATAGAGTTGGAATCCTGAAACTTGGATTTAGGATCACTGTGGGAGTGTATGTTTGGGTTAAGTAGGCTGTTTTGGAAAGTCGTACTACTGTGTACTAAATTTGATACTATTTGGATTATAATTAAGATTTTATCTAATTTTGTTTTTGCAAAATAGTCAGGCTAAATCCCAGTTTGTTGTTTTTATAAAAAACAACTATTTATTAGTGGGGAACGTATGGCATTGTTTGCCGAGGGGTAATGCAGGGAAGACTATAGTTTCGGATCACGCCACTGATCCTCATCAGTTCCCTTAGTTTTTTGTTGGGATATTCTCCCCAGAAGCTATTGCTTCTATACAAAAAACCTTTCATACCCAAATGTCTCTTGTAACAAAGCGAAGTACTTAGCTGACCAACGACATAAACTGCATGAGAATTTCGCTGGAGCCTCACTTCGAGGTTAACAAGGCATTTACAAACAATACCACACCTTTCCCACTGTTGTGTGTGGTCACATCGCGACAAGTGCACACAACGACTTTGTTGGTGTTGCTAGTATACAGACGCAGGCACGGTTAAACCGTTTGGTTTGTTGCTGTATACTAGCAACACCAACAAAGTCGTTGTGTGCACTTGTCGCGATGTGACAACACACAACAGTGGGAAAGGTGTGGTATTGTTTGTAAATGCCTTCAGGGGCAAATATATACGCCATAATACAAATTTTGTATTTTTTCACACAAAAGTCAGGGTCCGTTTGACCCGCCAAAATTAAGTATTTGGTCCATTTCATCCCTTATATTTTAACCGATCTTTACCAAAAACAATAGGGGTCTTCATTGGGCAGAACCCATCCGAAAATGTGGCGAAGATTGGTTCATACTGTGGCCTGTATCGTGTTTACAAATTATAATGGACAGACGGACGGACACACATGTCTAGATCGACTCAGCTAGTCGAGATATGACGATAGATATACTTAAAGGTGGGTCTAGGACCAATACTTCGCGGCGTTACAAGCTCATGGGGCTGCACAAAGCTATAATATCCTGACAACATAGTTGTGTAGGGTATAATAATCAAAATTCTTGAAATGGGGGAATACTGTCCCACCTTTTTAGGTTACCTTTCGACGTAAACCTTCGAAACGCCGATAAACATGCATTCTTTTTCAAAATCTGTTGGAATTTCCCGGTAATTATTTTTTGTGTTGCACAGTGTTATCTTTTGCAGTTCTTAGTGATTGGGAGGTGTCCCAAGAAAATTAGGCGGTATTTTATCAAGAATTGAACCTTTCAACCTCTTATAACGGTAATTCTCAATTTGATTCTTATGCATCCTCCAACTTCTTGGCATTTTGGGTTAGAATTTGGTATTAAAAATTATTACTATTGCTTGGTAGTTCGATATAGCATGCATATAACTAATACCCATTTTATGTGGAAAATTTTGTGATTTTAGGTTAATTTTCCATTCAAACTAACTGCAAATAGTGTTTCTGGGTCCATTGTCTTTCTAAATATTCTTTGGAAAAATTGTTGATATGGTCCAGTTAATATTTCATTACATCGATAGTTTAAGTCAAAGTTTCCAAAATGATTTGCTGGGGACTTCATGGCAGGTACATGTGAATACCTATCCATTATGGTATAGAAATATCAGGTCGGTTGACATTTTTATAAAACAATAATTATTTATATTTATTTATGTAAATTGTATTTTATTTAAAATTCGCTACAATTACAAAAACAAAATTTTACAACAAATACATTTCAATAAAACAAAACTAAAAATATTTACAAAACAAAAAAAGAGACTATTGTAACGGACAACGGTTACTTAAACTAAACTAGATAGTGGAGGTGATAGTGGTGGTGGTGGTGGAGAGGAAATGTAAAATAACAAATACAACGACTAAACAATACAGTACAATTCTCTATTAACTAAATTTACCATCCAGATGAGGACCAGCCTTTGTGAGAATCACTGCTAACAATATATTCATCACTGCTGTGACCGCCATGATAGCCACCATGATGATCTTCGTGATGGACATGAACGGGTACATGCACGGGAACATGGACGATCTTTTCAACGGGCACATGGACAATCTTTTCAACAGGGACCTCTTTGACGACTTCCTTGATGACCAACTTTTCAACGGGCACCTCTTTTACGACTTCCTTAATGACGGGCACCTTCTTCACATGATGATGATGAATGGTGTGAACTTTGTATGGCACGTGAATGGTGTGATGTTCACTGTGAGGAGAAAGAGAAAAAAATGAAATGAAAAATAAATTAACGACAAATTTAAAACAGAAATAAAAAACAATTGGCATTAACATTCATTCATTCGCTCACTCAAAATGACACCTTATGTGCGAGGGCACGGGCACGTAATAATGTTAATGAAAGTGAAAATCTTGTTTATATCGTGTCTGTTTTAATGATGTCTGTGAACTTGAAGTCACCTTTTATGAAATCCGCATTACATTGACAGTGACAGTTGCACAAAATAAACAAAGAAATTAAAATGACAAAGAAGTTCAAAAATACAAAGAAAGAAAGAAAAAACCCAAAAGACCTCTACGGCCTTATTCGATTAAAAATACTTGGCCGCATAATAGTTTTTGTGTATTCCGCATAATTTTTAGCCGGCTACCACTTTGTTGTTGTTTTTTTTTATGAGATGTTGTGTGTGTGTGTGATAGGCCTACAATTAAATATTTAGCCGGTAGTATATATTTTTTTTTTTAATTTTAATTTTTTGTCGTTTTCTTTTGTTTTTGGAATTGAGTAGCTGGATGTGTGACAACAGCCGATAAGTGGTGTACACTTAATCAGCAAACTCGTGCCAACGAACTATCAACATAAAACTGTTATTTGAAGCACGAATACAATCACACATACACATAAATAATTGTTGCTACATTTTATTGCAGTTATCAGCCAACGTCTGACAATTGCAATAATAAAAAAATCTAACAACAAACACACAATGACACACAAATATATCTAACCGGCAACATTGTGAACTTAATTATTTAATAAACATAACAATACTCTTAGACACACACACACACCAACATAATCGTATAGATTATACGACATTAATAAGAAAACTGGCAATTATTTTGAGCAAAAAAAAAAAAAAACTAAAATACAAAGCATTTCTCTCTTTGTTTTTAAATCCAATGGGAAAAACAACAATGACAAGAAGAAATATTTCAATGAAATTTGTTACGAAATTTCCACTTGGTAATGGATAAAAAATAGACTTTGAGGTGATGTGGTTTATTAACCCATTGTGGATCGTTGATGTTATCTATCTTCTATCTATATACATATGTATATAAAAATGAATTGCTGTTCGTTAGTCTCGCTATAACTCGAGAACGTCTGAACGGATTTATCTCATCTTAGTCTTGAAATGTTGAAAGGTTTAAAATGTAAGGAAAAATAGAAAACCGTGAAAAATTTGGAAAAAATATTATGAAGCCTATTTTCATTGCCACGAATTTAGTATCGAGCTATATGATTGCACCACTTCGTTTTTGTTATTCGGAGATATTTTAGGCGAAAATTGGTAGTGCATTAATTCTTTAAGTCTTAATTTGTCAATTATTGGAAAATATTTTATTTGTTCAATTAGATGGACATTGTATCGAAAATATTTTATGTGAGAATACTTAAACATAATTGAGAAGTATATCTTTGAATGTACACGCGATCATTGTATGTACACGTTTTCCCATAGAATTCGCGGACATTTCGGGACAAATGCAAGGTATTGAAAATCCGAAGACATTCTGAATCGAGTTCGTGTCCATTCAGGGAATGTTGAATATTACATTTGGATTTGGATTAGAGCTTTGGAAATAGCCATATACATTGCTATTTCTCCTAAGATGTATTGACAATGGAATATATCAGTAAACCAAATATGGTACCCTTTGTATTAAGCGAACGGGAAGAGCTAGAATTCAGAAATTTGGAATGTGAGTCTCTGATGGAAGGTTAGAATGATGTACAAAAGGGTTTTTGGAAATTCGACCTATAAGTGTACTAAAAGTACTAAAAATTACTAAATTTAGTTCTAATTGTATATATATTGAACATATTGAACATATATAGCTAGAATCTTGAAATTTTATATGGAATACAGGTTGGGAAGTGGTGTTGATGTATGGAAATGCTTTAAGAAATTCGTACTTATGTGTATAAAAAGTACAAAATGGTACTAAATTTGGTACTATTTGCATTGAGTTGAGTGTATAGAGATGAAATCCGGAAAATCGGAATCAGGACTACTATTAGAGCACAAGATTGAAGTAGCTTTTAAAAATCGTACTAATGTGTACGAAAAGTACTAAATAGTACTAAATTTGGTGTAAGTTGAATTTAGGTGAACAGATAGAGCTGGAGTCTTCAAATTGTGAATAATGGTTGCTGTTGGAATATACAATTGAGATATGGAAGCATAGTACTTATGTGTACTATATTTGGTACAACTTGATTATTTGAGAACGGATAGAGCTGGACTCCAGAATTTTTGAATGAAAATTCCTGTTGGAGTGTAGGATTGAAGTAGGTTAGGAAATTCTTAATTATAGAAACAAAAAGTACTAAAGGGACATGGGAGTAGTTTTAAAAATACGGAATTGTGTGTAATAAATGGTACAAAGTTTAGTACAACTTAGATTTGAGGGAAAGGATAGAGATGGATAACAATAAAATTACAGTTATGGGACAGGATTGAGATTCGTACTCATAAGTACGAAAAGTACTAAATGGTACTAAATATGGTAAAATTGAGATCTATGTGAACGGGTAGGGCTTATGATTAAAATTACTGTTGCAGTGTGGAATTGAGTCAGTTTTAGGAACTCGTACTTACGTCTACGAAAAGTAATAAATGGTACTAAATTTGGTACAACTTCGATTTTGTTGAACGGATAGAGATGGAATCTTTAAATGCAGACTTACGGTTATTATTGGAGTGCATGACGGAGGTAGTTTTGGAAATTCGTATCTTGGGTACGAAAAGCACAAAATTTGGACTTTGGTGAACGGGTAGAACTCGAATCCTGAAAGTTGTAACTTAGGTTACTGTGGGAGTGTAGAAAAAGTACAGAATGGTACCAAATCTGATAAAATTTAGTGAACATATAGAGCTGGAATTCTTAAATTTGCAGTTAAGATTACTATTTGAAAGCAGGTTTAAAATATTGAGATAGTTTGGAATATGGATACGAAAAGTAGAGGATGGTATCAAATATAGTATAATTTTACCTTTAATGAACAGACAGAACAGAAATTCTTAAATTTGCAATTACGATTACTAATCAAAAGCAGAATTGATTTACATTTGGCAATTTGTACTTATGAGTACCAAAAGAACTAAATTTGATTTGTATGATTCCTGAGTTTTAGAATTCAGATTACTGTTGAAGCGTAGTACTGAGCTATGGAGACAACATTGGAAACTCGAATTTATATGTACGAATAGTAAATAGAAAATTCACTAAATTTGGAACAACTTGGATTTGGGTAACGGAGAAAGCTGGAAACCTACAATTTGGAATATCAGTGGCAGAGAGTTAGAAAGAAGAACCAACGGGTTTTAGGTACTAAGTGGTACTAAATTTAGTGGTGGTGATGGTATAGAGGATGTTTTGATAATGTGTACTTATGTGTTCGAAAAGTTCTAAATGGAGCTGAATGTGGAACCTGTACGTTTCTGCTAAAGTATTTAATTGGAAATCTGATCTATTTTTAATCTATGTAATGGAAATAAAAAAGAGATTTCGGAATATAGTGCTGATGTGTATGAAAAGTACTTAATTGTAATAAACTTGATATTAGATGTAGGAAAAGAGGTGGAATTCAGAACTATAGTACAACAAATTATACAATAATAAATTTTAATATAATTCAAGCTTTGTTGCATAATTTTAAATGGACTAAATTACAGTGATTGTTTCTCATATAAATAGAAGCCATTCGCTTTTCTTTTTTTCGAGGTACACAATTGTTCAATAGGTTCGCCCTTGGACAAATTAATTTCCTCCAAATTGTATAATAAATACAACGTGAATTTTTAAATTCAAAAAATTAAAAGATATATACTACCAAAATATTTCCTAAATATTGTCAATGTAACGTGTTTGTTGCTTAAGTCTTTTGTTTCGACATGAATCGAAAACAAAAAATAACTTTGGTTCGCATTTAATGTGGTAAAGCCATCAGTGCGTTATAATGAATTTTATGGTTAATTGAATAATTGCAAGCACAACTCAATTTATCATTCTGTCACCATTAACATTTCCAAAATATGTATGTATGTATGTATTTTTTAATGACAACTTTTTCGGGGAAACAAACAAATTTATATATTAAGATTTTGGGAATCCCACTGTGAATGTCACTACAATAAATTGTAGGAAATTTATCAATACCCCATATATATATATATATACGGTTTCTCGGAATTGCGTGTCATAACTTGTTTGTGTCTTCAGTTTGGGAAAATATGTGATGTTGAGTATTTTAAAATTTTCGTTAATTTGAACTGATTTTGGCTATTTTTAAATTTTTTTCGCGTTACATTGATGCAAGAACTTGTATACATTTCCATTAGCATATTGAGAAAAAATCTCAATTTTGTGGCCAAAAGAAAACTTATGAACATTTCAAATTTGGCAGGCAATTTTCCAAACGAAAGACTTAAGAAACAAACATGCTATGGAGACAACATTTCGCTCATTTGCTGCAAGACAGGCATAACTCAAAAAAACAGGATTTTGCACAAAATGCGTTTTTGGTTTTCAATTTACTCACACTTTATATGGGACAGAGGAACTTCTACAGCTTCTCAATTAGAGTGTGTTTTTTTTACACAACATGAGGTCTATTATAGCGTACAATCGTGCATCATTAACACGAAAATCACGTTTTTTGAGTTATGCCTCTCTTGCAGCAAATGAACGATTTCCTCAACATGACGAATGTAATGTCTGTGTGTGTGTTATATTTGGTAATATCAACTTTTTGGAAATAATATTTTTAAATAATTATATTTGTTAATATGTTACCTGTTTTCGCAACATTGTAAAATATTGCTTTTGTCTTAAGTTTTTTGATTGCAAATGAAACATGATCGCGATGCCTAAAAAGATGTTTATAAAATTGACGTTGTGGGCCTTCAAAGGCGAGCCAAATCCAACTGAAGTTTTTCGAGAAGGAAGGACTTCGAAGCA